AATGTAAGGTAAACCCAGCTTTTACCAATGATACTAATCACGCTTCTATTCCATTCAGGTCAAACAGAGCCAGGGTGCTGCTATTGTGCATGTTGTGCTCACTGGAAAGGCTCTGCTTCACTAAATTGAACTGAATTAATGTGGTAACACCTGTGTTTACCCAACTATTTCATATTGAAATGGCTGCTGTGAAAAAGGTCTATTATATCAAAGAAGTCACACTATTTTGGAATTTTCCAAGATCCTGAAGGGATTGACATATTACTAAAATATGCAAATGTCACCAATACCCAAAGCATGCATTTGATATATAGCCTATGGAAATCTATTTAATACATATTCAAGACATATGGTCATTTTAATATACTATGTCCAATATGTTTTTACAGATATACTGTAGACATATTTCATAACATCCCTCTCCTCTTTTTGTGGTATCAATTCAGTCAGATAGCTTTAAAATTTTGAAGTATCTGTCTCTGAGATTTCCACCTCCACCCTAGTACAAAGGAGGGGAACTGGAATTTAGTCTGTGTTGCTCACAGCAGAAAGATGACATTTTAAAAATTTAAAGCCTAACCCAGACACCCTTGCACCCTGGCCAGATGCTAACCATATGCTCATAAAACACCAAATTTAAATTTAAAGGTCCAGTGTGTAACGTTTAGGATGATCTATTTGCAGAAATAGTTTCTCCTACATGCTTGGAAGGCGAGCGCTATTCAGTTGGTTCCAATCTGCTACTTCACTGCTAGAAGCCATTAAATCCTACGTACTGGACCTTTAAGGAATATAAATAAGGGTATAATCCCAACCCACCAACAATTGCCTTTATATCATCATGGCACTACTACACCATCTCTCTTTTTTGGTAACTTTAGACTCACCCCAAAATAGTGTCCCGTTTATTTATACAGCCAAGAATCACAAGTTTATCTATCTCTACTCGCTGTCTGTTGGAAGTCATTTTTGATGATAAGCAGGGCCAAAGTGTGTCTTACTAAAAGAATGAAAAAAGAGAAATCAGAGGAAAGCCCAATGACGATGATTATCAGAGCAGAACACTGCATTATTCATCCTGCTCTCTGGGGAGAGAGAGAGGAGCAGGAGGAATGATGGAGTGAGAGAAGGTAAAAAGTAGGTGAGGGAGGAAAGCAGGCAAAATGCAGAGAGCATGAAGAGGAAAAAGGAAGAAGAGAGAGAGGAAGAAGGAGAAAGAAGTGGAAAGTGTGGCAGGAGGTGAGATGAGACTGAAAGAAAAGAAGGGTAGCCTACTGGAGGACAGAGGAGGAAGGACAAACCAAAGTTGAGGATGGAGAGGAGGCAAAGATGAAGGGAGAAAGTGCTACATTCATTCAGAGAAACCACTACATGCATCCTTTCCAACAGTTAATGATGGTTTCTTTAAACCTTAGCCACAGTATTTCTCTAACTTTAATCAAGTAGTCTAGTGGCTTAATCTCAATCAAACCTTTCACCAAAGCAGTGGCACATCAAAACAGCTTTATGAATCATTTCTGAACACGAGTAAGGGTTTGGTTACGCCAGAAAGTGGCACAGTGAAATGAGTGTGCATGTCTGCGAAATATTTGGTCGAGGCTTGGCAATGTAGTGGCTACTCATGTGTTTTTAGTTTTTATTTATTATTTTTACAAACATTGGACTGCAGTGTAGCAGACAAGCTGTAGAAACATGACCACATTATGTGCTTTCTCAAGAAGAAAATGTGTGATTATTGCCAGCAATTGAGTACACGTCGGTACAGGAATAATTTGAGGTGTGATTGGTGTGACAGTTGTCTTGATGATAAAGTGGTGTTTAAAGAGTGATCGTTACTGTCTGTCCTTTATTGTTTTAAACTACTCCAGCATTTCAACACACCCAGAGATACTTTGAGTTTTTGGCTTTTTTGCAACATAAAAAAACAACAACAAAAAAAAACAGGCTGAATATGCTGTTTGGATGTTACCCCAGTAGATAGGAAAGTGGATCAAGCATGGATAGTATTAAGTATTTTAAGTTTTGCCATTGAGCAAAACATTATTTTTATTAAAATGTATTGTTGAGTCACATTACCTTGGGATTTAAACTCAACAATACAACACAAGTTAAACCCGACCTTTAATGCATATAAATTGCAGCGTGTGGCAATAATTTCAGAAATTGCTCGTTAATTATAACTATAATTTCTCATTTCTAAGTTTAAACTATTTAAAGAATGTTTACCTGGGGTGCCTGGTTAGCTCAGTCGGTAGAGCTGGCAACCCATATACAGAGTTGTTGCAGTGGCCTGGGTTCGAATATGACCTGGTCCTTTGCTGTGTGTCATCCCTTCTTTCTCCACCCACCTTTCCTGTCTCTCTACAGCTGTCTCTATAAAAATAAAGCCAACAAAAGGCCAAAAAAATAACTTAAAAAAAAGAATGTTTACCTAAAGCACCAATGCGTGAAGTGCTCTTGGGAGGACTCTCACTTTGTCGTTATTTGGACAACAGAATTATCCAGAGGCAGAGGTAGTGTTACAGCTTAAAACTAAGTTTTGTATCCATTTAAAAGCCTTTTTATCTGATCAGAGCACCTCAGGCTGCATAAGTGGCATTTGTAAGTAACTGTGGCAAGAACAGGAAAGTTAATGTTTTATATCCAAACAAACTTTTCATAGGATTTGTGACATATGACATTATGACATAACTAAATAACAATTCATTGATTTAAGATATAGTATAACATTTTGCTGTTATTTCAGTGTGTCATATTTAATCAACATTTAGGTCAATGTAAGTACATTGGACCTTAGTATCAGTCGATACCCAATATTGAAGAACTCAATCAAAATTGAGGCCAAAAAAATTCACCAGGACAATGTAATAGGTGGTAAAAAAAAATAAAGAAGAATTAGATTACTTTTGTTGTTTTAAAAAAATATTAAACGACACCCCGGCAGACACCCTAACCTTCCCCAACAAAAGCCTGATCCTCAGCCAGTCTTTGGTAGGACTAAAGTCTGTTTCTGTGAAAAACATTTTGAAGACTATGCTTATATTGACGCTTCAGCTGGTGACATCCTCCAAATTCCAGGCTATTGTATAGGCTCTGCAGCCGCTTCAGCAGATTTGCATATTAGGCTGGCATGTTTGTCCGCTGTGAGTCACCTAAAGCGCCAGACTCTGTAATGACAGTTCCAATGAAAAGCAGAGAACGCCACAGAGAAGGAATGTACAGAAAGTAACAGTTTGACAGTACTGATGTTTAACAGTGCCACATGAAGCTCCCTTAAGTAAAACGTGATGTAAATGTGCTCAGACACAATGGTTTGTGTGGAGGATAATGAATATGGGGAAGCTATGTGTTAACTTTGGAAAGTTCTGTTTCTTTCACGATTCACACACTCACAAACTTTTAAAGCCTTAAAACCACAGTTTGATGTCATTTCCACCTCAGTGTCGCCAAATTGAAATTAAATTTGGCTGGTAAACTTACAGGCAAAAGTAAATGCTACATCCCAAAGAAGGCCTGTGTGCACAAATGCACTGGTGCGTTATGAATTAGCCAAGGTTAATAAAGTCTTTTTAATTTTTCAAGAGTTAAGCGCCTTCAATCCATTGAAAACCATCCCTTTTTTGGATGAATGTGCTGCTCAGTGTAGTGGTCCATTTTCTTATGAGATCAGCATTATTTGGTCTGCCTGTGAATGTTGCTTCACTGAAGTGCATTCAGATCGCAGAGAACATAAAGGTGTAGACATGAGATCTCACTTTTTTATTACATGGTCATTGAGAACTGCTCCTTTAATGGTTAATTTGCAAGCAAACCCATTATGTGTAATCATATAATGTATACAGCCTGGTCACACCAGTTGTAAAAGTCCAGTTTGTAACATTTAGGAGGATCTATCAGTAGAAATGCAATATAATATTCATACATATGTTTTAGTGTATAAATCAACTGAAAATAAGTACTGATGTGTTTTTGTTACTTTAGAATGAGACGTTTTTATCTACAGAGGGAGCGGGTCCTCTTTTGTGGAGGCCACTATGTTGAACCTCAATGCTTCTGCAACAGACCAAAACGGACAAAACAAATCTTGGCTCTAGCAGTTTCTCTCACACGCTTGGAACAGGAGGGTGACGCAAAGGCATTGCATTTAATCACACTTCCCTCAGCGTCCAGGGTTGGGATTCCCATGAGCAAGGCACTAAACCATTAAATGCTTCAAGAGGCAGCTCCAGTTGCATCAGAGTGCAGTCGTGCTGGGCTGCAGCCTGAATTTGTGAGTGTGAAATAGGGCGTTTCTAAAGGAGCACTGGCGCTAAGCAAACCTTCCCTGAGTAAATAAAGGTTAATTTAATTTAATATAGACATGCAAACACACACACTGAGGCGAACCAGTGAACAATGGAAAGTTGCCTGTAAAAACGTGACACAGTTCCCTGAAAACCACCATGAAAGCCAATATTTACAACTGTGTGTTTATTGTGGTGCCTTTGTGTGTCTCATCAATTATTTGGTCAAATTAAATTCATGCATTTGATATTATAATATATATTGCAGCATGCACTCTGTACACTGGTATCCTGCCAAAGCTGTTTTCCTTCCTTTCACCCAGTTCATACTAGGAGAGGCTCTTACAGGAAATAAGCAGGACTTGGATGAATGAGAAACCAGTTACAATTTATTTGAATTGAGTTTATGTTTAGGACAGCAAGTCTTCCAATGTCCAAAAATCACAAGACAATCAAACAATCGCAACACATGTAATTAGGAAACCTGTTCTTTCCCAAAAGGCTGCCATGTAGTATCAATGAGCTCAGCCAACTTAGACTGTGTATGGTGTTAGTGCACTGAAAACAAACAAAATCATGTCAGACCATCAGTCAAGGCTTTCATTTATCTGACTGGGATCCTACAACATCTGCAGCTCTGCATGGTAAAGGCAACAAAAGATGAACAGAAAGTGAAAAACACTTTCCTCTTGCTCCACCTCCCTATTTGCCCAGTCAGACAAGTTGGATAAAGACAACAAGCAGCTGCCTGAGGAGGAAAAGACCTTTGCTTCAGAGGAAAAACGGGACTCCAGAGCCGTGGCCATATCTGTTGACAAATGAATGTGTGTGAGAGCCAAAGGTATGTATGTTTGTGTGTGCATTCATGTGCATGCATTGCCATGTGTGTCTGTGTGTTTCCAGCATGTCAACACCCACAGCAGAGTGAAATAATAGTGTTCTGTTCCGCATAAGCTGGTTTCTATCCTGTCTGACAGACACTGAAAGAGACCTGAATGTGTTGATAAATAGCAGTTATGTTATTATATGGGGAGGCAGTAGCATACAGAGTTCCCCAAAGCATTTTCAGTGCAGTGGTTCCCAACAGATTTTTTTTCAATTATTAAGTAAACTGACAACCCCTCACTAAGTGATATATTTTATGGATTTCATGTTATATTCAATGCACAACAATTACAGTACAGAACACCTGATTAATTGTACAATGGACCCAAATAGTGAATACAATAACCTCAGGAAGTGATTTGGATGAATTTGGAGCAGATTATTTCCCGTGAATAAGAAGTTTCACTGATATTTCTAGGAACATTTTATTCAATTATCTGTATCTGTATTATGTATTTTTACATTTTTTTTAACAATCCTACATACTTAATAGGCTTCTTTTTTGACAGATTAAAGTTCTCTTCTCATCATTCTATTAGCTCTTTGGTTGTTTTAACTTTTCTAAAGCAGGACAGGGCTGTTTATCAGAGAGTAAATGCTCTGTGACTATAGCTTGTGCCCAGGTCTTCAAAGTTTAAAACTCAAATAATAATCTAAGCTTTAGAAATAACAATTTAATTTAGTTTTATTCACAGAAATGAATGAAATGCTGAGATATAGGCATACTGTCTAAATTTTTTAAGTTTTCTTACACCCCTTAAAACTTGAGCACTACTGTTTTAGTAGCCCCCTGCCTTGCCTGAACAAAAGAGCGATCTGTTAGCATCAGAAAAATTATGACATTTTAGGTTTGGAAGTGTACTGACGACGTAAGATTGACATTCAGCTGCACATTTATGACACAATGACACACCGTCTGACAACATCCACTAGCTTCAAGGAGCACACAAACACACTAACCCAGTGTAAGGAGAACTCGCACAGTAACTTACTTCCAACAAAGCAAGAACATCTGCGGCCCCAGTAGAGGTGGGCGATATATATCGTTTGCGATAATATCATCATTGTTGTTTTGACGATGTGCAAATTTACATTATCGAGAATTTAAATTACTCCTCACAAACTCCTCACATCCACTTAATACACGGTGCAGCAACACTCTCTACAGCATGGCAGGATTCAGTCACACAACTAGTGGGCCTACGTGATCACATGACGTGATCACATGACCTCTCGCTAGCATCCTCCTTGCAACAGTTTAGCAGTGCGTTGTGATGGTAGAGAGAAAATGCAAGCACCTCCAGTCCCTGAAGCTACCGGTACTTCAGATGATTTAGTGCCGAGACGTGGGTCTACCTCTCTGGCATGGAAATGGTTTGGTTTCGAAAATACTTTTTTAGCGCAGAGCTCAGAGCGCTTCAAGTGGAAATCTGTTAAACTTTTAACACCGCTGGGCGCTCGGAAAATTAGATTTTGAGCGCTCTCAGCACTAAAAACGCGTTTGGTGGACACAAGCCCTAATTCAGACAATTCCAATCACATTTTATCGCCAAAATCCCAAAAAATAACGAGATATTATTTTTTGCCCATATCGGCCACCCCTAGGTCCCAGTCAACTCTGCTCGTCACACTGCTCCTAAAACTCAATCAGACGACAGAATAGTCCCGCACAGATTCAATTGACTCCCATCAGTGCGGTGATCGCCAAGCTACATGCAGTGTTCCAGCCCTACGTGGTGGAGAAAAAGTTGAGAATAGCCCACATGGATCGCCAACAGGTGCCTCTTATTACAAAATCTGTGCCCTGAACTTCAGATCCGACCAGACCAAATGCCTGACAACGTATGGACACCCTACTAGAGTACATATAATGTAAACCCAGTTAAGTGTGCACATTTCCAAGAAATTAATTAATAAATTAAATTTTCCAGGAGACACCTGGCTGTGTTTTATTTAAACTGGGACATAGAGACTTCAACCAAAGTATCTGGTATGATAAGCAAGTGTTTTTTCCATGTGCCTCCTGTGCTAGTGAGGTCTGAAAGGATTTCAATCTACATGTAACAGATCTGTTATGACTCATGAATCAGGCCACTTCAATCAGGCCATGATTCAACTTGGAGGTCAACGCTGACCACAACAGCTTTGGGTTCCTTAAAGGCATACTATGCAAGATTTTTACCTTAATATAACAGCTTCCAAGTCATTTCGATGGTAAACAAACTCGTAGTATAGCAAATCATCACGATAGCAAACCAGAACCAGCAATGCAAGTCTCGCAAGAATCACAAATTGCTTTACTCAACAGTCACTGACCCTCACCCACAGGTGGAACAGTGTTAGGTTCTGTCTCTACTTGTGGCCTCTCCTGTTGGCATGCAATGGACTGAATGTCAATGTCAGTGTTTGTGCATCCAATCTGCATGAGCTGGAACAGAGTTTCATCTGTCGGTCTGTTTCTCTCTTTTGACTTGATGTGCTTCATTGTTGAGAAGCTGCTCTCACAGATGTAAATGCTCCCAAACATGCTGGCCATTGAAAATTGCGAAATCCCTAAGGAGTGGAAAGCGTGACTCAAGTAGTAGTCTCCAAAATGAAATTACCCCCTGCAACTCTGGGGGTTGCTCACTGACAGCAGCAGAGAGGGGGGCAGTGAGTATCTCAATTCGTAGCTGCATGTCGTAGAAATCTGGAAAGCGTTCCTTGAATTGCTGCTGCAGTTTTTCTATGTCAGCTCTGTACTTGAGAAACGTTTTCTCACATTTGGAGACATCTCTGCGCGTCTCTTCACAGGAGTGTTTGTGATTCGAAAATGCTGCAGATCTGCATCTAGGTCTAACACCATCTTTATTTCAGCTACTTCACAGAGACGGTGTTATATTAAAAAAAAAAAAAAAAAAAGGTAAAAAGGACATGCAGAGGTTTTATTGTGAGCTGATAGTGACTTGATGCTGTGTAATATTTGAATGTAAGGGGGAAAAGCACTTTTCAAAGTAATGACAGACAGAGCAAATTAACCTTAGAGATGGTCCTAAGTAACAAACTAATATTTAACCAGATTTAGATTTTGACATACAATAAATGCACTTTGATACGCGCTCTGATGCGAGCTGAATGAATGCAACATGTAACATTAATGAAGAAAGCAGACAACTTTCCTCTTCCACACATCAGTTGTTACTCTCTTCCGTTGGGTTGTGGTTTTTTCCATTTTGTTGTGGCTGTGTCTATTTATTTAATAACCAGAAACTTGGAGCCTTTTTTCCCCACTTCTATCAGTCTTTTTAAATGAAATGATTCTTTTCCTCTGGGATTAAACAACCCTGATCATTAATGTTAATATGTTTTTGGTGGTATTTTGATGCACAGGGTCACTTGCCAGCCATTATCTGTATAAACAATATTTCAAAAAACCCTGCCAGTGGATATCATGGCCTTCCCACAGCCCATGGTGTCTTTGGAGGTCTTAAAATGTTTGTGTCAAAGTGAAAAAGTAGAAACGGAGTGTCATCCAAGAAGCTTTGTTTTTTCAATAAATATTCAGTGTGCTCTGAAATCACAAAGATGGTGCGAGAGTCAATGACACGATAATAAACTCAGATGATCTTCTAATCAAGCGGTTGGAAATCTCATCCAGATTAACTGTCAAAACATCTCTTCTGAGGTTATTAATGGCCTGGATGTTTGTGTTAGATGTACCCAACTGGGTTTCACTGTGTGTTTGTTATGAACAGCCTAGAGGACAGTCTTTTGTGGGCTGCCCAACCTGATTATAGTATTTGCGTAGGTGTTTTTCTACTTGTGCTTTGGAAAATGTCTTGTTCTTGCAGAGATATTGTAGATGTTTCGTGTCCGTCAGCATCTGCAGCCAATTAAGGCAGTTAAAACAGACAATTTCTGATGGATAGATATCCGTTCGTAGGAGTGTTGGGGAATTTGATGGTGGTGGGTGGACCAGAACTACAGAAAGAAGACTTGGAAGAAGCTTTTGCTCGAAACAGGAAAGTGAAGCTGCTGCACAGAAGAAAGAAAAAAGTTGATTAAACTGTGTGATTGAAGAAAGGAAATGTAAAGCTGCTGATTACAGTTAGGGGACCTTCGTTGGCATGGTGACAAAAATTACCATATGGTTAAGGTTACGGAACATTTGTGGTCATGCTTAAAAAAAATACATCGAAAGAAAACAAAGTGAAATCTCTCATCTTAAATTCCAAAGTTCTTTAGCTCTTTATTACTTCCCCTCCTTTGCTCCCGACCTTAATTCCTTCAGCCACTAGAGGGCTTTGTCACTTGCACGTCAGCGTGTTATTTTGGGCACTTGCTGAAACAACTGATACTGTCGGTTTTCATGGCATGACAGTTTCACATGGGTTGTAAATATCTTTGAAAAACTAATGCATTTGTTTTTCCAGGAACAGGACAGCATTCTATTTTTCTTCAATTTCTGTACTATGGAATAGTGGTCTCAGGAGGGTTTAGACCAGTGTATTTTAAAGTATTTCAAACAGTGCCTCAGAAACATTTAAGGAGGAAGATGAGGGAAAATGCAAAAAAAAATATTTTTAAAAAATCTAATTACTAATCCCCTGACTTGTGTATATTGTGTACTGACTTGGGCCAGTCTTCACTCCCCATGTGCGTCAATGAGCCACCCCTGACCCTGTCACCAGTTCACTCCTTTTCCTTCCTTGGAGCACTTTTGATAGGTACTGACCACTGCAGACCGGGATTTTCTTTACCTACAGACAGAGCAACAACTAGTTTCACAGTTGTAGTGTTTTTGAATTTTTGTCCCCTGTGCTGAATATTATTAAAGGGATGACATCACTGAGAGCTGCTTCCTGCCTCTCATTATGCACTGCTTGCCACAATATGTAATTTTATTTTATTCTCCCAACCATTTGACCATCCGTTGAAATTATCTACCCGATTTCTAGGTTGAGGACCACTGATATATAACATACTATATATATAATATATATATATAAACATATTATCATTCATCACAAATGCTGTACAATTTATCAGATTAATTTAATAACTAAAAGTAATGTAGATGTAGAGAGATTTGGAAATAAAACAATTTATTGATTTCAAATGCCACCTTTAGAAATTTCTATTCAACGCTTTACTGATGTGCCACGATAGTGTTATGTTTTTAAGTTTAAATATATTTATTTGGGGGCTTTTCCAAGCAAATATTGACTCCCTTAAAGTCTCCATGCCACCCACTGGCCACCCCATCAATATTTCTTTAGATCCTCCACTACTAATCTTAACTAGGGTTTCACCATAAATGCATAATGACTTTCTGTGCACTGGTGCCCACTGCATACAATTTGTGCTCTTTTTTCCCCCATACCTGCCTCTCAGAGTCTGCCACTGAGCACACATTAAGAGCTGTATCATGTGTTTAAACCAGAGGGGGCAAAATACACACATTCTTTACTCAAGTACAGATACTTATACTTAATACTTCTTTAAAAGTATAAAAGTATAACGTACTCTCTTGTAGAGCCCTGGGACTGGTGAAAAGATGTTATTTGACTGTCAGTACCAACTGAAATGTCTCCAAATGCCAGACTTGCCCTGCTTTTCCTCTTAATTTAATGTGTCCTCTCTCTGTCTCCATCTTTCTGGTGGGCTCAAGATAAATCCCAGGACCCAGTTTTTTTTTAATGGTTTTTTTTTTGACTGCCCGCTCCCACCCGCAGCAAAGTCAAAACCGCCCGCTCCTGCGTGATTTGCATTGAGTCCCATGGGATTCCAATCCCAATGCAGCACTCTGCTTTCTTGGTATCCCTGAAGGACATTACTGCCGGCTATTTCTGTTTAAAGCTGACTGAAACTGCTTCGTATTGGTACATCTTTTTTGTCTTGTTACGTCTGTTGTGTCTGTCATGTTGGGAAGGGGTAATACTAACGAAAAAATCAATAATTCCCCTCAAATGCATAGAACTTAAAGTAACAAGTTTGTTTTGAAAATGTGAGATGTATTTACTGAAACAGAAGTAAGGCACACAGGCATCATTCCTTCACACAGCATGGACAAGAGAGACAGTTAACCTTAACTTACACTTTTTTTCCTTTTTTTTTTTTTTTTACGAGTTACTTACCCCCAACCCTCTTCTCCCCTTACTGCATTCTTCTGTGTGTTTGTGTGTGACAGTGATCCTTGGCCTGGAGCTGAATAGGACAGGAGGAGCATGGGAGGAGGAGATGAGCAGGAGGAGGAGGAAAAAATAAAGAAGGGACGAAGAAGCACCGGGATGAAGGTGGAAAAAGAAAAGGTACACAGAAGGAAGAGAGATGTGGCACGGGGGGGAAGAGATAAGAGGAGGAAAAAAAGAAAAGGGAAACAGGGAAAACAGGTGAGACAAGGACAGAGAGGGAGAGCTTTTACTCAAGTCTGGATCAGGTTTCTGCCCAGTTTGATGGGTCATCGATTTGCTTTTTACCCCACTTTCACACACTGATACACGAAACAGTGTTCACTCTCTCATACAAGTCCACTCTCAGGTGATCCATTTAAGTGTACAAAAAAACACATAATGAAGGCAATGCTTGTGATGAAGACAAAAAAAAACTTTAAAATCATTTTTTAAAAGAAGAAATATAAAAAACTTGCTGCTCAGTAGAAGTTTTCCCAGCGAGAAGCTTGTGACTTTTCCCTCGGGGCCTCTCGATTCCTCGGCTCAGTTGTTGGCTCAGTCTCATATTTACACTCTTCCAGCGCACACACTCTCACTCACACACACTGCCTTTATCTCGCTCTGTCTTTTGCTTACACACACATGCTCCCGCTTACATGAGCAACATTTAATCTGCGAGGAAAACACTCTCTTGCTTACACACAACAGCTCATCAAAGGCTGAGAATATTTCAATCTACTGTTGTCCACCTTATAGTCACCACAAACAGTAACACACGCAAAATACTCACAAACAAAGCACACAGTGGCGCTCACACTAGTGTATAGAGTATATAGATTTTGTATAAAACCACACACACTAATACATCCACCCGCTCATATGATTGTCTCAGAGGGGTCTTCCACTCCTTTAGGGGTTTTGTGGCTGCATACTGATACATAGTGTCTGTTCTTGCTCTAACCCTCTGTTGACCATACTCATGCCCACCCACAACAGTTATGGAAATGGTCCAATTGTTAACCTGTAAGATTCCCAGGTCACGTAGCAGAAAATGTTGCGAATTGTTGAATAATAACTACTCATACAAACTGAAGCAAAACAGCCCACCCCCTTATGCCTGCAAGTGAAAGTGAAGGTTTCCATGTCGTTGTTAGATGAAGACACCACCCTGAAAATAGAAAAAAATATATAATTTGAATTATCACTGCCAAAAGACAGCTTTACATTCCAAAACAATTGACCAATTCATTTCTTAATTAAACTCAAATTCAATGTAGTCCTCTCTGTTTGCTGCCCAATTTTTTTCCAATGCAAAAGTATTTGTCAAATTCTGTTGCTCTATTCAATGTCAATTCAATTTCTTTAATTTTTCCAATTGTATTCGAGATCTCATCAATTCTGTTTTGCACAAAATCTTAACCAGTGGCTCACCTGATGGTCCAACCTGTGGCCCTTTGCTGCATGCCCACCCCCAAAGTGTACCCAAAAGGAGTAATGCGCTATTTCTCCAGGGCAGTCGGTTCATCTGTAGGTATACTTGTGCAGCTAAAAACAGTACCTTCAATTGTCCCGTGACTGCTTTGCAGAGAGAAACAAATTTGTATAGGCGCAAAGTAATTCCAATTAGGGAATCCCCGGTCCTGATGTCACTACACAAGGAACCCACTCATCCTACGTCACCCCTGGCCGGCTTGTATTAAAGGTGTGAAATTATAACACGGCATTCTACATAAACAGACCAATAGTTGTCAAAACCAAAATTATCAATCTCTTGATGGTGCAAGTGGGAAAGTCAGGGAATCACCAGATTCATCAGGATTCATCCTCTCGGGACCATGAGTATCTGTATAAAATTCCATGGTAATCCATCCAACAGGTGTTAAGTCCAGTCTGGAACAAAGTGGTGGAACCACCCTCAACCTGAGAGACATTGCCATGCCTAGAAACATTTTTCACTTACTTCTAATCATAAATTTATATTTATATTTAATATTTCATAAAATATGCGGAAGCAAATTACTCTGCTAGCTGCTTCAGGAGACCTTTAACAGATGTTTAATTGAGTTCAAATGACAGCTAAGGTAGGTGAGTGACAGCTGCCAGAGGCTAGAACAACAGAGCGCACTGGGGCAGGGGAACAATAAACCTCCTTCAAGTAAAGTTAAGTTTTGCAGTTAAAGAAAAGTGAGGATGTGCTTTCTCAAAATTACCATTACCCCTCACTCTCTCTCCCTCACTCATTTACATAGACACTCACTCACAGGCCATCTGTTGCAATGGCAAGTCCAATACCACGCATCGCTAACCTAAAGCGTGAGACCATGTAGCAGGACACAGAAACGGGGCGAGTACAGAAAGAGGGGGGAAGGAGGGATGGGGGAGTTGAGGAGGAGAGGACGGGAGAGAAGGAGGGAAAGGGAGGAGAAGACAGAGGAGGGTAATTCAAGGCCGCAGGTATAGTTTACCTGTCGTGGCAGCCAGACGGCAGGAAAGCTGCTGCATTAGATCACTCTGCCAGATAGGAGAGAGGGAAAGGGGAAGAGAGAGAGAGGGGTTTTAATATGTGTGTGTGTGTGTGTGTGTGTGTGTGTGTGTGTGTGTGTGTGTGTGTGTGTGTGTGTGTGTGTAAGAGAGTGTACAAGAGCACAAGAGAGTTGTCGGGTTAGATTGCCCAGTCCGATATGTCTGCAGTTCCCATATGGGAGTAGGAAGGTAACAGGTAACACTAGAATAAGTGGTCCTCCTGGAATAAATAAAGGCCTCTCTTCAATGAAAAGGGAAGGGGAATTGGGAAGGCAATTGAAACGTTCATAGTGCTGCTTAGTGAGACTCTAGTTTTCAGTAGCACAGTACTGGTCACAAACGCATAGATTTAAGCCTGGCGAGATGGATTTTTCTGTGATATCGTGATTTAGAGATGAAGTCCAGCTTCCTCTCAAGTTTAACAGCCGGGTGAAAATGATTCTGAATGTGTCTGAACAACCTACATTTAGTTATTTCAACGCAGTATAACATATATAATATGTTTTGTTTTAACAAAACACAGAATAAATAACTTCCACTTATTGAAACGATCGATTATCTGTAACTTTTAACAGTTACTTACTATTTAACTCGCTACAAACTCGTCTCTCTTCCTTCGTTTCATGCCTCTCCTGTCCCTGAACCCACTGTGTCTTCATCCCCAGAGTCATCGTCCTTCACACGAAGTGTTTCAACTTGCACTGGACAAAAAGGACCTGTATCCTTAAAGAGCCAATGGTATATATATGGATCTGTATCCAGATCTGTGAGACTCTTTGTATCCAACTATGCCAAAATCACACCCCAGTACTCTTGCTGGGGGTTTGAGACAGCCTGTCTATCCACTCCACTCTATAAAATTGTCTAATTGTTTTTTCAAACAAAGGCAAAAATGTGTTTGTCTTGTTTGAGGACAGTGCTGCATTTGTTCCCACAAGCCATTAACTGGAATCAGTTAACCAATTAATAAGATGCAGATGTGACTCCTCATGCTCTTCCCACACATTCATCTTTTTATCTGTATGGTGACAACATCATTTCCAAAAAACTGACATGACCTGGCTCCTGTTAAGAGGATGGTGACACAGGATCTGAGTAATTTGTTCTAACAAATGTATTTCTATTCTAGAATGAAATTTTCCCCTGGGGATAATTCAATTATTTCTGCTTTTGAAGACTAAATTAACTGCACGTTAAGATGACATTCTCATGGTTAAATTAACAACAGATGTTTATCTAACTTTCACATTGAGCTGAAAAACTTGTGTCACAAGGCTTCATTTCTGTCAGCGCTTTGATCTGTTGGCCGAACAAGGAAAGGTTTGTTCAGGTGAGCTTCACTGCTTGACTGATTCAAGTGTTTGACAGTCAGAGTCCAGGCTGATAACAGAAAGCACAACCTTCATTTGTTTCTTTATGTTTTGAAGTTCATTGGTTATTATTTCAGGAGATGGACCGTGGCAGATTTTGTACCAAGGTTAACAGAGGAGAAAAGTATGCCCTCTTAACCAATACATTTGTCAGCTAGCACCATGAGCAAATTCTTTCTCCTCCCTGACAAATTGAACCAAGCCGCAACATGTGTTCCAGATACTTGTCGTTCCTCTTATGAGCTTAAGCAAAGTTTATACTCTTTAGCCATTTCATGTCAGAGCCAAAACTTACGAAAGTTCACCCTGGGAAAATGTAACTAATAAAATACTGCTACTGTGTACTGTGGACAGGTTGTAAATGTTTCATGAAGGCTTAACTGAGTAAATCTTTTTATAACCTGGAGCCAAGTCTGAGGGAGAAATATGACTTACTTGCTTACTTACTTACTTTGAATTTGACTCTGAGAACACAGAGGGAATGTCATATCATTCAGATGGCGCCTAAACAGAGTTTCTGGGATTTCACAACATAAATACAAATCTTAAAATGTGACACCTTTGTTGTTACAGTCTCATTCAATCAGAGATTGACATTATTTATCCTATATATTCTTATCTATTCATCAGCAGCATCTTTCATTTGTCCAATAATGACAACCAATGACATCCCCCTCAGTTATACTTTGTGTTTTGTGCTAATTAGCAAACATTGGCATGCTAAACTAAGATATTGGACATATATATCTGCTTAACATTGTCACTGTCAGCAGGCTGCTTTTAAAATGTAGCTCAAAGCACTGCTGTGCCTAAGTACAGCCTTAAAGAGCCCCTAGAATTGTTGACTCTTAGTCTGGTTCTTGTACACTGAGACAAATGATTGGGCCTGTATCATCCATCAGTCTCTGTGCGGTAGAGGATTGTTCCAGGGAAGAGCTACCCGATCCTTTGACTATATAATATATTTATTTATAGATTCTACTCTTGTATTTTTGGTCATTGTGGGTTAAAAATGTTCCTTGGAATTTTAGATTAATCAATACTGAATATATTATAAGGTTGAATCAAGTGAACTTATGTTGTGGTGTTTCAGCTAATGTTACAGTTCCTGAGGGGAAATTTTCAGACGGGACTTACAGTAAAAACACATAATGAACACACATAATAAAGAAACAATAAGCTGCAGTATAAGCAATTAAACCATATGACATAGAAAAAGATAAAATCATATGTAAACATGTGCTAAACCACCCATGTACAATTTGAACCAAAAACTGTCAATTAAAGGTCAAACACGCACCATCTTCTACTGCACTGTGTTGTTTTCATTATATTTTTATGACTGAAAGAGAACTGTTTTATAACTTGGTAACACACACACACACACACACACACACACACACACACACACACACACTTACTCTAAAGAGAAAATCCTGGCACGTAAAACGCAGGAAACATCATTGTTGCTGGACTGAAGCTGAGAAGCTCAGTGTGTAACATTCAGGAGGATCTGTTCACAGAAACTGAATATAATATTCATCACTATGTTTTTATTAATGCATAATCGCCTGAAAATTAGAATCATGTTTTTGTGACCTCAGAATGAGCCGTTTTTAACTGCAGATGCAGTGGGTTGACTTCCATGGAGTCGGCCATGTTGAACCGCCCAGAGTGGACAAACATAACACTGGCTCTAGAGAGGGCAATCTAGCGGTGTAGTTGTAATCTGCCTCTAAATCCTAAACACTGGTCCTTTAATTGTTTCATTTAGCAAATATTAAGGAAATAGTATATAGTATAATCTTACATACTCTATCCGTGATGTGATGTTTAAATTTAGCATTTAAAAAAATGCTTAAATTACACATTGCAACTTTTAACAGGTGCATTAAATGTTGTTTGTGTTGATATTGCTCATATCTTAGCCTGATCTTTCTGCTCAGTCGAGTTGAACAAAACATTTATGGGAGACGAGAGACTTGTGAACTTAAGAAAAGCACAGAACTATAAAAACCATTCTGCTGCTCCATACCAGCATTAACTGCATTAGTGTTTACAATCACCATACTGTACAACAGCATGCTTTCATACAAAGACATTGGGTCTGATTAAGCAGCAGGTCATGAAGTGCATGCTGAGAACAGAGGAAACATACAATGGAGAGGAAAAGGGTGTTGCCTGTGGAGAATTATGTGGGAATTGAGAGTGACAAAACAGCAGGCAATCAACGGCAGAGGTAAATGCAGACAGGAAGGGTGTAATGCATGAGGACAAAGTATGCTGTGAAGCCTTGGCCCTTAAAGACAGGGGGGCAGGGATTTATTGAATGTGCTCACCCACCAACCTGTTGTTTTTCTTTTCTTACGCTAAACTGTATCGTGGACTCTTCACTGGCTGCTGGGTGGGTCTGCCTCAACCTCTGACCCAAAAACTAATAACCAGAAAAAAGATTATATAGTTTTCTGGGAAAAGTGGGGGTATTATGAAACCTGTTTGTCAAAATGTGTTATGGAGTACATATTTCTTGGAGCCCAAGTTTCAAAAGCATTGCAAAATGTCACTTAAAAGTTCTCGTACAGTCACAGCAACACAACTCTGTATACTTGTACATAAAGCACCTGTCGTTTTGTCCCATTGGAGTGTGTGTCACCTCAGGGTGAGTGATGCTGGCCATCTGGGGCCTGTTGCAGGGTGTGGCTAGGTGGGGCGTCACCCTGAGGGGAGCGTGACATTGTGATGTGCTGCCATTGTGTTAAAAAGTCTTTAATAATGTTGCTCATGTAACATTTATGTCAGTTAAGCGTTGTGAAGCTACTTAAGAAAAACATATGATAGAAACAGAATAATAAGAATAAATGTCATGGTAATACAGATGTATGAAACTAAGGCTACGTTCACACTGCAGGTCTTAATGCTCAATTCCGATTTCTTGCTGAGATACGATTTTTTTGCGTGGTTGTTCACATTATAATTTATAGTAGTACATATGGATGCTACGCATGTCAACGGTGTTTGCCATGCTTTCGTCAACTGTTCTGATATTGCCACGCCCCGCCTCCTCTGGCGCAGAATTGTGACATCTGTCTCACTCACAGTATGACCGTTTAGACTGAGGTCGCTTTGAAAAACATCAAATATGTATCCGATTGAGGACCACATATGAAAGTGGCCTGGATCTGATTTGAAGAAATCTGCTTTGTGCTGTTCAGACTGTCATAAGACAGGCAGTTTGAACGTAGCCTAAGCTTCAAAGCCTGTGGGTGGACCTTTTCCTTGGCAGTGGTTGAATGATATCGGATTGCTAGCTTGATAGTTGCTAAGAGGGGTGCTATCAACTGCTGTGGTGGTGTGCTACTGACTGCAGAATATCAGCAAGCCCACAAATGTAGGGGTGGCTGTGGCCAGAGGTAAAGTGGGCCGTCCACTAACTGGAAGGTTAGCTCCTCTCGCTGCATGTTGAAGTGTCCTTGAGCAAGACACTGAACCCCAAATTGCTCCCAATGCTGTGAATCGGTGTGTGAGTGTTTGCTGCATGGCAGCCACTGCCATCAGTGTATCAATGTGTGTGAATGGGGTGAGTGTGGCATTTAGTGTACAGCACATTGAGTGGTCGAAAGACTAGCAAGGCACTCCATAAGTACAGCCCATTTACATAGTGCGGGCTATCATCCATAAGCAGTCATCTGTACTTTCACAACATTTGTTTTATCAAGTTAAGTTTGCATATATTCGGTAAGTGGAAGCTAGGTATCTTGGCTTGCATTGGCTGCAATAACACACTGATCCCATTCACTTTAATGGATAATGAGTTGACTTGACACTTCATTTACTTGCTCAGTAAACAGTCTCCTGATGAGTTTAGGGTCTCAGTCGCTAGTTTCACATCTTCAATAAATTATGATGTTCATTTAGTAAATGATGGTCCAATTTAAAGTAAAATAGACCAAGACCAAGATAATACACTTAACTGTTACTGTAATGACTGGTCTGCTAATTTCCTCTCAACAATAAATAACCCCAGTAACAAAAACAGAATATTTACTAATTTATTTATTGATTGATTGATTGATAAAAACCTATACATACACCACTGAAAACAGTCCTGTATTAAATAGTTACATTTATAATCATATCCGGGTAACTTTCTGTTCCAATGTTTATTCACCTGAGATATTTATAATAGTTGGACGCGCAGCAGTCTGGCTAAACAGTACAAACAGGGAGGGTGACAGAAGTTATTTTAGGAGAGAAGACAAAAAGACAAGTGGACTTGATTGGTGATGGAATGGCGTCCTGTCAGCACAATCTGTTGGTCGACCACAATCAAAATATATCCACAACAAGCGCCTAATATGTATCCGTGAAGTTTCAATAAAGTTGCTGCAGCGTATGCTGAACTAAAACTGGCCGTGCGTGTTTCCAGATAACACAGTAAAGTGATATAGCAGAGAAAAAGAAAAGCTTCTACCTTGAACATCGATATGGAAGAGAGAAATGAACAGGCTTTCATTGTCGACTTAACTTTCCGTCTCTTGTTCTCGCAG